CCACCCAGAGTCACCCTCTGGGGGAGATGGGCAGCATATAAATTTAATAAATAAATAAATACATATTTGGAGCATTTTCACAGCCCACGGGAGGCATGGCACTGCTCTTTCTAGAGGTTAAAAACAAAGGAGATTACCAAAAAAAGCAGAAAGAGAAATGAAGGGCTGGCCTCTTACTTAAACACTTGGTTTCAGTTTGCTGCGAATTGGTAAAGGATTTCTCTTTCCGGATCCCTGATGGGATGGATTAGATCTCTTCTGTCTGAGCCTTGTTTCAACTGTCCTGCACAAAGAGCTCAACTGTTGTAGATGTTTTTCCAGATGGAGGTGGGAATGGGAATGAGGAATCTATTAAATTCACCACTGTTACCGAGGGTCATACATAAGTTTGCATTCTTCATGTGCGGCAAATGTGATTCCAGAGCCACCCACAAGGGGAGGGGACAAATGATGACACACACATAATAATATAGCAAGTGCTATGACTTATGTACTTGCATTATATGTTTAAAAACCATGGTTTCAAAACTCCTAGGTAGTGTTATATTGGAATGCAATTGTTGTAAGTAGTCCTGTCAGAACCTTGCAATTAATTAACCTGTATTGTAAATGTTAGCTTGCTCAGTTCTGCCATGATTGTAGTCGGGGGGGGGGGCAGTTAGGTGAATAACGGTTAGGGCAGATGGCCTGTTGTTATCTAGTATTCAGGAATGACATGTCGTACCAATGTGAGAGCAGAAAAAGGTGCCAGAAGAAATGAGGGGGAAAAGGGGGGCAAGGAAAAAGAGTTAAGAAAGCGTTGCTATGCACGGGCTTTTCAGTTTCAGCAATTTCTACTATGGACTGTATGTTAACCCTCAATAAACTGATTTTCTTTTGGACTTGCTGAGTTTCCAGAGAAGGTTTATTTTTATTGGGAATTAAGAACTGCAGTGTCTGACAGGTCCCTGACTTTTCCCACATCCCTATTCCAAATGCTCTGAATGCAAGTCTGCAACATTCCTTTTCAGTGTCTTCCATTATTCATTCTTCAAATCTTTTCCCTCCAACAGAGACTGGTATGTTGCCGTCTCTGAGTCTAGCTGATTCTTGATATCCAGAAGAGTCGTGGACTTGCGGCCTTGTTGTTCCGTTTCATTTTGCAGGTCAGCTAACTGCACATCTGCATTACTGATCAGGCATGAGAGCTATGCTTGCTGGGTGCTAAAGTGGGTTTCAGTTTCTGGAAGGATAGATTTCAGAGAAGTTTTCTGATAGAGACAGAAGATAATTGGAACTGGGTTAGATTAAAAGAAGTTACAAAATGTGTCAAGATATACAGTAGCATGCATGCTGGTTTAAGAAGCTATTTATGTACACACAGCATTGAATGTGACTGCAACATATAGAACAGTGTTTGTTTGTTTTATTTTGACACCTTCTTGATAGAGTTCATAATTCTCTGGCTGGCAGAAGCCTACAATGGAACATGTAAAAATGTTGCCCCAGCCAAAAAAATGTTGCCCACCCCAATACAGGAAGAATTCCACCCTCAGTAGATTATGGGCATTGCAAGACCTGATTGGTAAATTCCCTGCTTCTTGATCTTCCCATCTATTTCTAGAAGGCATCAAGTTGAATACTCTAATGGGAATTATAGAAACTGTAGATCAAAATATCAGGAGAATGCCAGGTTGGAGAAGGAATAGTAATGGGTTTTGGCTAGAAATCTTTATAACGTGAACTTATTATGGAGCTTAGAATGGGTGGATGGATGGATGGATGGATGGATGGATGGATAGATGTAGGTAGGTAGGTAGGTAGGTAGGTAGGTAGGTAGATAGATAGATAGATAGATAGATAGATAGATAGATAGATAGATAGATGATAGATACAATAGATATCAAAATATCCATATCAGACTCTTAGGAGTCTGAGTCAATATTTTCCAACAGATGCCAGTGAAGAAACTATAAGCCTGGGCAACCTGGGTATTGCTTTCTCCTGTATCCATCTGTTCAAATGGTCCACTAACCTTTATAGGCATTTTAATGAGATATGTTTTCTTACAATATTTTTAATACAGTATGCTGCTTTTTTTCTATTTCATCTAACAAAACAAATAAGACCATTCACCATCCATGTTTTTACAATAATTGATCTTTTGGATCTTTTTATTATAGGATCTCTGCAAAGGGCCAAGAAATGTTAAATTATTTCCCACTTACACCTTTTTAAGAAATCATGTATCAAAAATATTCCAGCCTTAAGGGGAAAATACAGGGAAAACCAGTTCAACTGTTGGAAATGTTTTAGTCTGTTCCATGCAGGTACTGCCCTGTATTTCTCTGGATTCAAATTCTGATCTGAAAAGGGGAATAGAATGGAAGTAAGGAGTAGAAAGAGTTTTGCCACAAATTTCTCTTGAAGCAGGTTTTAGAACCAGATGGTGCCCTGCACACAAAGAGCCAACAGTGGGATGAATTCTAGTCATTCGTCCTTCTGTCAACAACAACCAAATCACAGAGGGGGGATTTTTTTTTTTAAAATGCTTATAATAGGCTAAATATCTTTTACTGAATTTGTTTAGCCTTTAAGAAGCATAGTGCCTTTCTCGTAGATTACCTCCCAGAGCTTCTGTGGGAGCTTCCTGAATGAGCAGGTGGTATGTACTGTGGTGTAGTCACATGGTCACTCCAGGAAGCATTAAGGATGGAGGAAGTTAAACCAAGGTGGGATAGCTTTCGTAGCTTGTTGTATGGTTTAGAAAAAGCAAGCACAATATCCACCTTCTTCACTGAATCTGGTGAATATTTCTTCAGATTTCTTTTAATCCTTAAAACTAAAAATCTTGAGTCCAAAAATGGAAGCAATGAAGCAATTTTTTGATGATCATAACTTCCCTAAAGGAAAGTTCTTTCCATGTTCCTTTTTTTTTTTTTTTGGTCTGCTTGCTGCTTTTCCATATACAGTTTTCTATTCAACAAACATGCCTGTGTCAAACTCCAAAGAGTGCTCGACGTTTGTGGAGCAAACAAGAAAGAGGCGAAGCCGTTTTTATTTGCAAAATCAAGCCCAAAGAGGATTTTTATTATCATGAGCAATACAGAACAAGCACTTGCTGGGATGAGTCAGGCAAAGCTTGAAAGGGAACGCTGTGAAGAAAGTAGCCAAGCCGAGGCATACTTGTGCAAAAGGAAGGATTTTGTGGCTGTGCTGAAACTGCTCCTCCTTTCTCTTTAAGGAAGGAAGCCCATCCTATAGGCGTGTGCACTTTTCAGGAGATTCAGAAGTTTCCAGAACGCACTTTGCCGGTAGTGATGGTAGTGCCACCACTGCTGTAGCTGCTGCCACTGCCACCGCCGCCACCACCACCACCACTAGTGTAGGTGATGGTGGTGCTACCTCCTCCGTAGGATGCTGTTGCAAAGAGAGGAAGCCGATGTGAAATAAAGCACATTGGAAGGCCTCTAGATCTCCCACATTGCAATGACAGTGGCCCATAGCAATTCACATTCTTCGTTCCTTGATGTGTTTCTCATTCCCTAAACAGGCTGTTGCAGTTTGGAAGGAACCATCTGCAACTGATAGCTAATAGTCCAACGGTGCAATCCTGTGTTTGTGTGTGTGCGCCCTGAATTGTGCCTATCCCTTAACCAAGGTGAATACCAACCAAGCTTAGCCCATTGTACAAATGCAATTGCTAAGTCTTTGCCTGATTTGATCAACAAGGTTATAAGAATAAAGCCATAGTAATCTATGGGACTAGTCCAGTGTTGTCCAAACTTGGCCATTTTAAGATGAGTGGACTTCAACTCCCAGAATTCCCCAGCCAGCATGGCTGGCTGGGGAATTC